AGAAGAACGGCACATAGGCGACTATTTACAATTCTCCAAATAGACAAGCTCGGACACTGAGAACCACACCAGCACCTTCACAACCAGCCGCAGCATGTGACGAATCCATAGGTATCATAACCCCAATTATTCAAATTGAAACATGTGTTTGAGCATCAGAAATGCAGCAAGTCTGTCAACAGAGCAGGAAGAGTGCGCACAAAAGCATCTGGTTGCCCGACTTCCTTAAGTGCTCGAACACGGAGTGGTTGCAATAACGCGAGGACAACTTCGGATTGAAAATGAAGCGAAAGATGTAACAGTAGCCTGTAATCCGATTCTTCCCCAGATTGTATGACTGACGTGCCTATAGCTGGGACCTACGGAACAGTAAACATCGAATGGAACGAAAAGGAAAAAAATGATGATGGGATGTTAGCAGGCTATTTTCGCATATGCGCCCTGTTGTATGCGAAGAATAAAATGAATGCCACGACGCCAATATGACTTGAAGGAACCTTTGCGTGTGTAATTCGTGGAGGTAACTGTACTGAGTTGCTGCCAGGGCGTTGTCCCATTTGTTACAGCCCCAAACCTGGGTGGCCAATAGTGTCGGTAGGAGGGACTGTGGATCCTGAATGGACAACCCCCCAGTATAGATCAAAGGATTTCTGAAGCGTAGCGAGAAAAGGTCACCTGAGCGCAACGGGTTCTCAAAGGTGGCTGGTCAATCTAGTGCTTTTCCACAAAAGTATTAGCCTACGAGAGTTGAAGAATACTGGACGTTGTGGAACACTATATGTATTTCGAAAGCCGCATTAACTGTGACGATAGCGTGCAAAACGAAGTCAATGCACAACCCCAAAAGGCCACAACCGCATTTCCCAGTTTGTGCTACTTGTGACATCAAAAAGACGTGTCACCGGGTTTCAAAGGACATGTGCATCACACTACAGTGCGAGACTTGGTTACTCCAGTTGGAGAACTTGACACATCTTCAGGGCTCTGACCACCAACATCTCTGAAATATAGCTGTAGCTAATCAGGAAAAGGTATTCGGTGTTTGATATTTGTACGATGTTCATGATCGCTTTTTGAATAGTGTGATAACCGTCGAAGTGCCATCATCCGAATCGTTCACAGTAAAGTAGTCGGGACTTCTGCACCTTGCTTGAAAAATGCAAGATGCCAATTATCCAGGCCAGGAGTCCCGTCGCGATATCTCGAGCTGGATTTCAATCGCTGTGTGGGGAATGGTATCAAGGTTCCATCCATACTCACCAGGTTCTACCACAATTTGTGTAGAGGAAAGCCAGCTGATATGTTATTCGAAAAGTCCAACTAGTGACCCCAGAATGAATTCCGGGCTTTGACTGCAGACCTCCACCGGTAACTGATGGCTACGTAATCCATCTACCTCAAAGAGTGATCTGCGGCTGGTGATTTTCAAGTGACAGGGTGTGGTTTCTGGTGCTGACGAGGAGCAGAGGACGTTAAGTACATTGCGCGAGAAGTTTATCCGCATTATGCTTCCAATTCAGACAACCATATCATCCATCAGGGCAATATCTGTCCACCCTGCTGACAAAAGAAGCCGTGATAGGTCTCGATAAAAAATCCACCCTCCCAAGGTTTTGAGGAACTCAGGAACTGAAGTAGATTTCCGTAGGACCCAAGTCGAGGTACGTTTGGATCTGATGTAGTTTCGCTAACTTAACATATATGTCCGGGAATCTATAGTCATATTTGCCCTAGAAAGAAGAATATACGAAGCCGTTGACGTATTTTGTCAAAAGCTTTCGTGAAGTTTACATGGATCACATGAAGGCAAGTTCCGTTACTAAGTATATCAGCCATCATCACCATCGACATCATGACATCAATGTTCAACAACAATGCTTCACTGCCGTAACATCAGTCCACTTTTGAGAGCATTTAGAATGGTGTTTATGGGACCCGTACAGTTTTTAACTGCGACCAAGCTCTCCGGGATACTGATGCGACTCTGATTTGATTAGTGTATCAGATGGCTTGCATAGAAGGCTGATTGAAAGCTGACCTATGAACATGAGTTTGACACTGCTATGTTAAGGCACTGTATGGGGAAAGATCGTTCCGGAAATATCTCGATTTGTTGCTGCAACATAAGTGGGAAGTAATCACGGAGTAACAACGGAACGCTTACGATGGATATCCTGTAATCACATGTTAGACAACTTCCCTCGGGGAAACAGAATACAGTAGTTTTCATCCATACACACTTCATCAGCCCATGGTTTCGATTTCGTTCCCCGTGCTGGAATCAATACAACTGTCTGCTGTTCACGCTGTTTTTCCTTCTCCATTCCTTTTCCTTCTCCTCCGAGTCCATGTAACCGCATTTTAAAACCACTGGTGACTGTCTGCGGATTGTTTTCAGCAACAGGAATCTTTCAGTATCCAATGACAACGGAGTTTACGAACTCCGAACTCAAGTAATCTAACGTGTAACTTCAACTGACCAGAAGCTGGAGAACTTTACCGGTCTTTTGTGAGGTACCGCATTATCGATTTATCAACCTGTGCCGGATAGCGCTGTTTCTAGACGCCATACGAAATAAATAATGATAATTGTTCAGCTGTAACCCTTTCGGTGCCTAGCTGTCATGCCACCCCAAAGGAAGCAAGCGGGCTGGAATACTGCCAGGTTACCCAAGTCTAGACAGAGGAAGCCGAGAGGCACGGGTCAGGCTCGAACCACGGACATTCCAGTCAGTGAATTCGCGCTCTAACCACTTGACCCATATCGCCCCATGGATGTCCTAGCATTCGTTACTAACCCGCTGACGCTATCCAAAACCAGCTACGCTTCTCAGGAATCGGTGGTGAAAAAACTGAAGACGCCTAACATCATCTGTCTGCAAAGGCCATGTCTCGCACCCATGATATAACAAAACCCTTACAGTAGCCTGGTACACACGACCCTTAAGATCTAGTGACATGCCTTTTTGACCCCACAAGTGACGCAAACTAGCAAACGGGATTCGACCCTTTGATATTCTTGCACTGACTTCACCAGACACACTTTCGTCAAAGCTAATACAACTACCCAGGCATGTTAAGTTTCCCACAATCTCCAGTGATTTTCGCTGAATTGTAAGGGATATATTCGCAGATGGCACGTTCTGAGGCATGACTTTGCACTTTGGAGGTGCAAGGCGCATGCCAAAAGATAGTATGGTGGTGGTCAGTTTACTCAACAATGTTTGTGCTTCGCTTTGGTTTTAAAAGATGAGGGCGATGTCAACTGCGTACTCTAAATCGACAAGGCTCTCACCAGCAACAATTTGAACACCCGGGTTTTCAAGACCGTCCAGTGTTCGCCTCATCATTTCATCAATGACAAAGTTGAACAAAAATGGAGCGAGTGGACATCCTTGTCGGACACGATTCTCACAAGCCAAGTTTTCGCGTGCCACTGTAAGACGACGAAAAATCAGAGACGCCAGGAGCCTTGTCACAACAGGAGTCAAACAACTCTGTGGTTACTACGTTCATTGCGAGTACCGCTTTTGAAAATGGCCACCACTATCGATGGTGGTCAGTCTACTCGACAGTGCTTTTGCTTCACTTTGATCTTCAAAGATACACCCAGTTGTCTGGGACTGTCCCTTTCTCCCAGATAGGCCCAAATAGGCTAGACAGGCACTGGCTGAAGAGCTCACCGCCAGGCCTGAAAAGAGCATGTGGAAGGTCGTCAGAACCAGCAGCATGATGACGCTTGAGTATAGAAATACACTCGGACACTTCTGGGACTGAAGGCGGCTCCATATTTACGGCCCAGCTTTTTTGTTGAAGGCCAGGACTCTGGATTGAAGGTAGCAGGTGGCCAGCTGTTCGAAGTACTGTGTCCAACGGTCCAAACGTTCTGCTTTGCTGCATATCAGGGAGCCATTTCGGTCTCTGATTATTTCGCTGACAAGGGGTTTCCGAGGGCCAGTCGAACGAATCAAGTGGAAAAGATTGCGGACTTGCCAAGATTCTTTGCATCTTCCATTTATTTGGCCTTTTGGGTCCACCAAGCTTCTCGGTCTGCGTGGACACTGGCGTCGGATGATGTGCCGCGTGGAGTTGTGGTGGCGGCCAGGGGGAATCTGTCGCTAGGTTCCCAGAAAAGACACGGTCCTAGTAGAGATCCAATGTTTGGATGAGGGTGACTGAGTTGTACCGCAAACAAACTTTCCGGCGGTTTGGGCATCTTTTCCCAGTGGCAGTTTATATCCGACACCGTACCGTCCGGCAGGCATTCGAGGAGCTGATTTTGATGGTTTTATTTGGCTTCTGAATCTCGAATTCCCCTGTTCAGTCTTGGGCAACCTGACAGAATCCCAGCCCTAATGCAACCTTTGGGTAGTTAGGTACCGAAAGGGTGCTACCGCTGAATTCTGGGTCCACTAGCTTCTAGTTGGCTAAGCGAGATGTGTGCGTTAGTGTACACCTGAAAAGTGAAATGAAAAGCAGCAGCGTACGAGTGCATGGTCGGAGTTCACGCTGGTGTTCCACCGATAACTGATGGCAATTCGGTCCATTTGGATTCGGCGCTGGTTTGTTTGTGGGCACTACGTTGTCAAGCAATTTCCGCTATTCCGGAAATTCGTACTGCAAAGGAACAGTTTGTGATCGGCACATACCTGAAGTAAGCGGTCTCCGTCGTCCGAGCATCTCGTGTCCAAATCAAGACGATCACCCAATCGAACTCAGCAGCACTGGCCTACCTACCTGGGTGTTCATATCACCAACAACCACAACGATATCTGAGCTTTTAGCCTGCCGTAGGAGGGCACCTAGAGCGTCATAGAAACTGTCCTTGGCAGATTCAGAGCTACAGTCAGTTAAGGCGTATGCAGACAAACAAGGTTCGCTGTACCCGTTTCTCCAGATTCTCTCGCAGAAGTTGCCAAACGAACCGCACAGAGGCTACTATCAACAGGGACCCAAGCAAGCAGAGACGCTTCCGCTCGTTCGCTCAATACAGTACCCACCGTAGCATATCCAGCTACAGCAGCCTCCGCATCACCAGAGGTGTGCAGCCGGAACCTGGAAGAGAGCGAGGGAGCAGTCAGTTCGATCACTGTACTTGCGTCCTGCATCCTTGTTTCTGACAGACAACATACATCAATGCAGAGGGAATCCAGCATACGAGCGACAGCCATCTGTCGACCTGCTTGCTTCAGTGAGCGAACATTAAAGGTGGCTAAGTAGACAGGCTGCCGGGGTTTGAAAACAGACTTCGAATTGTTTAGGCCTGTAACTGAACTCAGACGTACAGAAGCTGCAGCTAAGTGTGATGCAGGGCGAACAAAACGGTCAGTTCTAGAGCTGGGACCTACGAAGAAAGTGAGTGTAATGAAGGAGGCTTCAGTAGTAGCGTGTTTTCGCTTACCCGCCCTGCCGTATGCAGCAATTAAGACGACCCGGCTGATAGAACGCAACGGCCGATGTGGCATCAGTATTGTTATCACTATGGTTGTACAAGGGCTGGGATACTGCCAGGGCGCCCACACCTGGACAGGAGGACGATTAGGGTCCTCAACCAAAGCCTTTGGCTCAAAAGCCTAACCGCCAAGCAGCGGTGTTGGGCTAGAAATGCAAGTACATTAACATTTTTACGGAACCCGTCATCACACATGTTTTAACCCTCAACATGGAGGGCCAGGAGAGTGTGTTCGCCAAACCTCTACCCATGGACCAACCTGGTATGAGAGACTGTGAGTGTCACGCGGACACCCCCAATATAGCTCAATGGGTTGCACAGGTACACGAACCGCCACATCACAGTAAGGTCAGGTCTCTTCGTGACGGATTAGAAAAGCAGCTGGAACCAGGCCCAGTCAATTGAAACTCAAAAGTGATGCGACTGAAATTGAGTAGACAACCCGTCCAAGGTAAGAAATGTGCAGTGCGAACAAGATCCAGCACAACGTACTGCAGCCCCGAATATCAACGAAATGGTAACATCCGGGGTTAAACTAGCAGCGTAGGTCCCGTTTATGATGGTTTAAGTTGTCAATTTGTACAAGCCATTTCAGAGCGCACTAGACACCCCCACGTTGGTTGTATCGTTTGTTCCTACCCAGAGTACTGAACGAGCCACGAAAGAGGTAAACAACGGTCATTGCTTTTTGGTCCAGAATTAATTCGGAGGTAATATAAGTCTACTTATCCCAATGCCGCCGTTGAAAATCACCGGGATTAACACACTCTGTTGACCTCGGTCTCGCTCCCTGTACTGTCTTAGAATGCATGGTGAAATCAAGGGATGTGAATTTCAGCATCGAGCAGTGACGACCACGACCAATCCAAATAAAAGCGACCAAACCAAAGTCAAGTTAATTACTCATGGAAGCAACCTCGTCGACATTGTTCACAGACCACTGCTGCAAAAAACAAATTGCCTGGATTGGTGGAACCAGAAGACGAGTAATAGCTCTTTCACTATTCGGATGTTTACACGAAGATCATTTTCGTCCTGTTCAGGGCAGTCTCAATCGCCCTTTTTAGGTGGTTCAAGTTCCATTCTTGGGACTAATGTATGGGAGAACACGATAAGCTTAAGACCGAATTCTGTAAATATAACTGAGTCCCCGTTTACACTACTTCTGAATGAACAAGTGCAGGTAATCCTGTCGAGTTCGGTTCGCCCGCTGGCTATTTCCACCATAAATTCATGACTTTATTCCCAGCTCCCACCTCATAAAAAGCCCTAAAGCCACGACCACTGTTTTATCTACCATATTTTTGACAAATTCCCGCAATTCGGCAGCGTCAATCAAAATAATGCAATCCCCCCCTGCCATGCCCAGTATCCCACTCGTGACAGCTTCTGAGTTTATTAGTCTACCGACAAGATTTTATCAATCGCTATGCAGTCTGGGACTTCGAAGATCTACCGAAGGAAACGAGGTTGTATTGGGTGCGAAGTCTGTACTACCCAGCTCGACAAACTTATGCTATATGTTGTTTTCTGTAGCTGGTAACGGAATTTGTCCGGAGTCAAGTGTTGCGGAAAATGTGAGGGTAGGAATGGGCTGATGGGATGCATGTCACTCAGCCGTTCTATCAAAACTATCCTTCTGAGCTTGAAGTTCAACTCTGTTTTTGCTAACTTGAACGCTCTGAGTAAATGATATGCAGTGCCTCGGGTGAGCCCACCAGGGTAGGTGCCAGGGCACTCGCACCACCAGCACTACAACACAAAGGCTCACTCCCAACGTTGTAGGCACCTTCAACCCACATGACTGAAAGCAACAGTACAGGAAATAGGCGGCATTTACCACGTTCGAAAATTCAAACTGCTCGTCAAAACCAGTGCCTCAATTGAGATTAGCTGCAAACTGCGATCGAAATTAAGTGCATATAGTGGAAAATAACTGGGTAACAGATGTTTACACTGTTCGATTAATGGACCACACACCTGAATCGTAGCTTCCAGTTTCTGAGGTTGATCGACTTGGTAGACGCCGTCTAAGTGAGGATACCGAGAACTTTGAGTCCTTATTGAAAATTATATTGCGACGTTCAAATTGGAATACCTTCACCATTTCCTGTGCGATTGTGTCACCCCTCGATTCGTTCAGTTTTTCCACCATAGTTGATGGCACCTGTAACCCACCAGACGACATCGCCCGAACTCAAGGTCGGAATCAAAACGGCGGGCGCTAGTTGAGTCCAATAAAACACGGCAGCACCAAAGACGTTTACAGCTATGGCGTCAACTGTTTACTTCCGCTGTTAGACACTATTCTGATAACAGTCTAGGCTATGCGACTATGATCATGTTCTTTTGTTGTTTTGAAGCCGTCCTACATCCCGTTCTTACACTATGCAGCCCTAACCATGAAGCAATATAATGTTCTGCATATATGTTGATTCTCGGCAATGGATGTCGACAAGAAGCCGCTTGAATTGGTCCGGTGAAAATGCTGGCCTGGAGCGCTGATCTCTGTTTCAATCATCGGACTTCTGTACTATTTCGTCCACCAGAAATGCAACCTGTGATAAAGCTCAAACACTTCTTCTACAAATCACTATAGTACGTAAATTCTGGCGTGTTTTTCAGAGCACCGCGAGTACACTCAGGCTGCTCCGTAGTGCGCGCCCGCGTCCAATACCTCGCCAAATTCGACAACACGCTTTTCTTAATTCCACCAGATTCGAGCGATTCCCACGAATATCAGGAACCATGTGCTTAACTAGAAAATGGTCTAACTTCCCCCAAAGCATGCAGCAAGTTGCATGCTTCCTAAACCACGGTGCGGTATGTGACCCACCAGCTCTCGGAGAAGCTTCATTCCTAATTGACACGCTATCCGAGTCTCCTCAGCGGGCGAATAATTGTCACGGATCCACGAATTGATACACAGCATCTAGGCTTTCGCCAGAGTTTCTGAGGTCAAATTTGTTCTTGTCGTTCCACGGCTGGCTGTCATTCACATGACAGGCACAAGCAGAAAAATGCTGCAGCTATGTTCTCTTATTTCTCTGCACGGGACAATAAGCTTGCTAGCGCGAGAGTTCGCGTATAATGGCGTCCAATAATGCTTTGAACTCTGTACTGGATGAAGCGTATACATTTGTCGGAAAGAGGGTAATCCACGCAGCAACTACTCGGAATGAGAAATAATTGCCGAATGAAAGTTCACGCTCCGGGCTTGAAAGTTTTCTAATTATTTCCCCGACGTGCATTAGTCAGGTCAACGCTGAAAAACCTGTCGGCCAAACCTTGTCCAAACAGGGCCCAAGTAAGGATTCGATCTCCGTCGGGGCAACGATAGTTCAGCGGGAATAGGTCAAGCACAACGAGATGTGTTTAATGGTTCACAGATTTAAGACCCGAAATCGTTTCCCTAGTAGCTCGTTGCACACGCCTAATGAGGACTACGTCCTCCTTGTATTCTGAGTAGATAACTTCGTTGGCATATTCAAGCAGCGGTCTGACGTAGGCCCCACGGAAGTCTTTGCGAGTAATACGGGAAAGGTGCGTCGATTCATCCGTAGAAGAGCGAATATTTTTTGAGCCGACTTCTTATGGTGCAGTGAGAATGACACGTCTGAGGAGAGCCAGAGCATCTATCCCTGCGGTATGCTTTGGTCCATTCTCATTATGCATGACACAGATGTTCGTTTAATCGCCCCCAAACGGCACGTGGACGCACTTTCCGTCATTCAGAGGAAGGCGCCAATCCAACGACCACCGATTTGCAGTGCCCACGTCAATTAAGAGGGTACTAGCATTTGAACCCCAGGATTTCAAGTTGCCCAAAAAAGTTGAAAGGACGCCTAGGAGGTTGTCGGCGTAAGTCAGAAGCAGAATTGGTCCCAAGAGGGAGCCTTGAGGAACACCAATGAAGCCCAGCCCCGGAGAAGTTTAGGTAGAGTCTGCTTTCATTCGAAATGTTCTGTCTGACGGGAACGCCTTAATCCAGCGGAGACTTCTCTCTTGAATACCCTAAGACTTGAGTTTCTGGAGCAGCGGAATGTTTGGAACTCGATCGAATGCTTTTGGGAGGTCCAATAAGAGTCTTTCGTCCTTGGCTTAGGTTAGGTTGCCCACAGATACGAGCATGTTGAACACACAAGAACGGCTTTTGGGAAATCCATGAACTGGATATATCAAGTTGTTGGATGTAGAGCGAGGCTCGCCTCAGTATGCGTTCCATCACCTTGCACGGCACACTAGTAAAGCTAATAGGCCTGTAGCTGCCGGTGATGTTCAGCAACCAATTTTGCAAATTAACCTGGCAATCACCCCCATTTAGACAGGGAGGATGACCTTTGTCAAGTGACAAACGGAACCCCAGACGGAAATATTTTGTCGGTGTCCTTGGACAGACTTCGTTGGGCTTTAACGTCCAAAAACGGGTTGATCTTGTGCAAGAGTTGACGGATGTCCCCCACCGTGAAGACCAAGTCGCTTAGAGGAAGTTCATAGTTACGCCTTGACAATATTGGATGTGACCAGGAAGCACGAGCCGAATATAGGCCCGCAGGTCCTCCTCTGTGGTCTACTCGTCCTGTAGTCTACTTTTGAAAAATAGTTGAGGCCTCTTTCCCAAATTCAACGCTTTCAGAATTCCCCCGAGAAAATCCTTTCAACCACCAATGGTAGCCGGATAACCGTTGATGCGTATGATAGTTTTTATACAACATATGAGTCCTGAACTACGATCCTCTGTACCTGTCCGGTATTTTTGCCTGTTTCGCTGTCCAAGCAAACCCCTTTGAATCTCAGGCGTCCACGTCGCCCATGGAGTTGCCTCAACGCCAAATAAAGGTGTAGCATGGTAGCATGCACGAGGGATGAAAACCTCGTGTGGTGGACGGGTGCGCCCTGCAGGGAGGGTCGCCCTGTTGCGTTGCACCATGGTGTGTTCGTATACTCGCCACCCCTCCAGTAGCACCGGTGTATCGCCCATCGCTGGCTGTTCTGAGCCTGGTCTATAATTCAGGAAGAGCAGCTTTGCTGTTTGTCTCTAGCTGGATTGGCCTTGTTCTGGTTGTCACTGGTCCCACAACACCAAGAAATACAAGCGGACGACAGCTGTCCCCTGGTTTGTTCTAAAAAAAATAATAATAAAAAGAACATTTACAAAACATTCACGCATGGGGTAGCCTGAGAGTACCTGTGAGGCTCACGGCTAACGTTGGCATGCAATGTGTTACAGGTTACGTCTTAGTGGGGTCACACCACCCCCAGTCCGCTTCATCATCCAAACATAGCACACATGTTCACCTAGAGCGATCACATGCACAAAATGCTAATAACTTACGATTTCCTGATTACAAGCAGTCACAGCTAGCACTTAATGGCTATTTTTTGCCATGCACCATTTGCTTTCTGGAGTTGACACCATTGACTCGGCGACTGGTGATCCTTAATCATACTTTCCTTTTAGGTTGATGTAGTAGACCTCAATTAAGCTGCGATTCTCATCAATTATCTGGGGATCTGTTGCTTGTCCGTTTTTTACTTGTCCACTGTCACTCCTCATATTAACCCTTCTTTCTGCTCAACAAGGACCCGATGCCTTGACGCTTTGGTGAGCAAAAAAATATCGTCCGTTCTCAACTAGTCCAACAGCTAGCCCCCTGCTAGCTACCCCGACGACAAAGATTTCACCTTCCTAAAACTAGGCCCAACAAGAACTTGGCCTCTAGATCAGAAAACGTATTCACATTTCTTGGGTCCATTTAAATTGCTATCATTCCCTTTAAGATTTTTTCTATCGACGCCGTTCTATCTCATGCTTCCTAACACCCGCCACGCGCTACTGCTTCCATTCTATTTCTTTCTCGTCGTCCCTCTTCCCAAGCTTCAATCCTCGACTGCAGTTGCCCAAACGCCCCTTAGAAGTGTTATTCATTCAAACTGGCTGGTGCCCGGTCTAAACTCACACGGTCCTCCAACAAAAGGGAAATTATCCGTGAGCCTACATCTGCATGATTCCCTGTGCCCATCTCCGTCTCAACGAGAACCAGCTGCGACGGATCTGCGTATCCCTTATCCGACCCTTGACGACCGTTGCGGGGCCGTCCATAAAGCGAAGCATGTCGGTGCGATGATGGCATGGCACTGTCATACCCAGTGAGATGGCACTCCCGCAACTATTTTCTCCAGAATCTCGACCGCACCCCCTCGCCCACTCAAGCCTGTATCCATAAAATCGAGCAGCTCCAATCTGGCCACGTCTCTGGGATGAGCTCTTCCGTACTCAATAAATTTTCGCTCACATTTGGCTAGCCTGGCTTTTCTGTTGCAATTTCGGGTTGCCTCCTGCACAAGTTCAAATCCGTATACGGAGTTCAGATCGCCCTATGTATTAGCAACTTGCCCCCATCCAACCTATTCCCCTGCACCTGACATCCCTACAACAGTGCAGCCAGTGACTCTGCTTGCTTTCAGATTAAACCACATTTTCGAGACAAAACTTTCCATGTGCTCCCAATTTGAATCATCCCATCTCCATCTCCACTTTTGCTCGTTGTG